TAGAATCAGACACACGCCACATGCATCAGCTTCATCAATATCAACATCTTTTTCAGTTCATTTTCCACATTTACCAGTGTCAGCATCCTTGTCAATATTTTAATGGGTCACAAATATCATCAGAATTTCCTATGTGCTAAGACATGGTGTGGTATGTTGGGGAAAGAAAAGGATCTCTGAAGTCAAACATAAAAAAACTCTCAAATTATAGCTGTGGCACACACTGCCTGGAGAGACTTGGGCAAGATTTTACTTTGAATATTATTCCTTACATATACAATGGGAGTAATACCTTCCTCAAATGGTATTTGCAATGATTAAATGAGGTAAAGTATGTAAAGAACCTAACAAAGCACCTAGTATGTACTCAACAAATGTACAAGTATTTTGTACAATGTGGATACTCAATAAACATAAAATAAAAGTATGAACAAACTTTCCCTGGAGAAAAAATAGAATCAGATACTCCTTAGGAACGTTTTGTCCAGGCTACATATTTTTAAACATTAAGTTGTCGTTAGTGGTCACCACCTTTCTTCAAGTAAAATTTATGCAGAAAGTCAACACTGAAAACAAGAAAATGAAACTGCTTCAGATTAAGCAGGGTGGAGGTCCCGTGAACCTCTCGCTCAGGACCATTCGTCATTGCATACCAGGTCATCCTCGCCCTTGGACTTCAGAACACAGTTTTAAAACCACAGACCTAGGCTATTTATCAAAACTGAATTTTACAATATTCTTTATTTGGGTTCCACGTATTTTTGTTAGTTCTACTTTCTTTTTGTTAACAATCTAAACAAAATCCTTATCATTGCACTTTCTAACTTATATTGTTGTTGATTCACTGGGAAGTTCCCTTTGTAGATAAGTAGATTCTCTTAAAAATTCTTCAAGTATTTCAGTTTATTCTCCTGGCATTTTCCAAGTATATAATCTCATCAGTTCCAAATGATGATTCTGGCCAATATTTTGCTTCATGGATTAGTGTATGCACCAAAACTTCCAAAATAATGTTAATAAAAATGATCTTAGTATATATCCTGGTTAATTCTTGATTTTAATCAGCTTTCTTCTAGAGTAGTAATTCCTACTTTGTTGCTGGTATTCCAACCCCATGAGATTCCAATTTAATTGGCCTACAGTAGGTCTCAGGCATCAGTAGTTTTTTAGAGCTCCCCAGGTAGTTTTTATGTTCAGATAGTAGAGACCCTTAGTTCCAGGTAATTTACCATGGAGTATGACGTTGGTCGCTTATTTAAAATAAAAAAATTTGCTATTCTTAAACATCTAAGGTTTGTTTGATTATTTAGAAATAGTATTGCAATGATCCACTGAGATGATTGGATTATATAGTTGATCTATTTGTTATTGGATATATTAAGATGATAAGTTAAATGCTTGTATTCCTCAATTCAACTCAATTTGGTCATACAGGGCTAATTCCTTTGTTGTATTATTTGGTTCAGTTTGCATTTATAGTTATTTTGAATGATGCCTTTTTATGTGTTCTCTGTCCTACCTTAGGAAACTGAATCATAAAAAGAAAAAATGTCAAAAAAAAAAAAAAGGATAAAATGTCTTACTAAGGTCATACAGCTAGAGCTAAGGAACTTGCTACCCAATGACACATAAGTGGCATGTGATGGCATGGAGAAGCATGAAATCGTGCCCTAAAGCATGTCCTGTAGCTTCAAGCTACCCGTGTTCAAGTTTGGGCTCTCCATGATTTTATTTTGGAATTTTTCCCCCAATAACCTAGTCCTTATATTTATCTCAAATGCTATTAATGTTCAATGTTATAATTTCTGAGTTTTATATTTATCTTGAGTAGAATGTTTCAATTTCAATCCAATCTTTTAAAATAATGGAAAGCATCCAACACCATAAATTTGCCTGTACACTGCTTTAGCTATATGCAACCATTTTTTATTTGTGCTAGTCCTAATTACCCTGCTTTTGGGGTGTCACCCCAATCACCTCATTGACATTCAGCCTTCTTCTCAGTCACAGTTATTCCCTCTCCATTTGCCCTTTCAGGCTACTTTTCCCTCCAAGACTTCTCTTCTAGAACATGTATTCTCTTGACTCACTTTATCTTTTCCCAAATATGGAGATTATTTATAATTGCAACAGGGGAAGTGAGATTTGAAGATTTTCTTCAGTTTCTCTGATCCACTTATATAAGGCTCATGAAGAGGCAACAAACAAGCAGTAGTTAGAAAATATAATAAAAGAGTTGGTGCCATTTACCCCAACAGGAGGAGGAGGAGGAGGAAGAAGAAAGAGGAAAAAAGGAAGAGAAGGAGACAAAGTTGAAGAAAAAAAGGAAATAGAAATAAACTTAACAAGAAACGTTCAAAAACTCCCTCAAAAAAGACTTTCAGAAAACTTTAAAATTTTCTGAGAGATAAAAAGAAAAACAGCTTGAATATAAATGGAGAGCTATTCCTTTTGCTGGAGTAGGAAAAGTTAAGATTGAAAATCCTCTCTAAATCAACTTGCAAATTTGTTACCACCCCCATAAAATATTGATTTTTAAAAATCAGAGCAGTTGCTTCTACGAGTTTTATATAAATATCAAAATTCAAGTTTAGCCAGAAAGGATTTCTGTAAAGCATAAGATAAAGCAAATGTGCTTAAACTAGATGAATGAATCATGATAAAGAACCCAGAACTAGACTCAAACACATATGCAAATTTAGTATATGACAAAGGTGATATTTCAAAGTAAATGCATTTTTCAAATAATAGGACTATTATTTATAAAATTATAATACTCTTCTATATAAATGTGTTGGTTTTGTAATAATGTTATACACTTATTATACATTATAAATTTTGTCATAATTTTATGCTTTTTTTTTTTAACTCATTGAACCCTGAGCTACAGTCCCAGCCCTTTTCACATTTTTTTTTTTTTTTTTTTTAATTTTGAGTCAGGGTCTCACTAAGTTCTTAGGGACTAGCTAAGTTTCTGAGGCTGGCTTGAGCCTGTGATCCTGCTCCTCAGCCTCTTGAGTCACTGGAGTAGGAAAAGTTAAGGCGTGTGCCACCAGGCCCAGCATAACTTTATACTTTTTATATAAATGAACCTGTAAAGTCCTAAGAAAAGACACAAGGGAATCATTTCATAGCCTGGATTCGGGAAAGGCCTTTTTAATATTTACTGAGCACTTGTTGCCAAGCAGCTTTTAAGCACTTTATGTGTATTTATTCACTTACTCTCCTACTATATCATAATCCTGATTTTACAGATGAGAATCCAAAGCACATAAAGGTTAAGTAAACTGGGCCCTTGGCCCAGAAACTCAGGAGCATTTCAGAAATACAAATGCTAAACCTTTTACTCTAAAGTCTGTGTTTTCAACCATAATGATAAACTGCCTGTTGAATTAATTTTTTCCAGGCCACCTGGATCAGAATGGTAGGTATGTCCCAGCCTGATGGCTCAGTCTCTCCTTGGCTATGACACATGAACAGTACCTGACTGCACATGTGCACAGATGGGTCATTCTTAGCACAGATATGAAATTCTCTGACTTTACTACCTAATCACTGAACACAGAATGATGGCCCTAGTGACAGAGGAAGAAATTGCAACTATTACTTGTGAGAACCAGGTGATATGATGCATGAATGGCAGTTTTGCAACCTGCTAGACCTGACAGGACCCTACCCTGGAAATACAAAATGCTATGAGAAATAATCCCTGTGTTTTCCACAAAGAAGAAAAAGCTAAGGAGACAGAATATCCAAATAGCTCATGCAGAATGGTTCCTGGCATACTTTGTTTAAAATGTATCCATTGTGGGGAAGATAGTCAACTATCACTATAGGATTTATTGTTAGAGGACTCATTATTTTTGCTAACCCTCCATCTTGTCTGAAGATTCAATTCATTCTTCACTGTCTACCCCCAAGTTAAATTCCAGAAGGGGAAATATATATATATATATATATATATATATATAATCAAGCTATAAATTCCTAGGAGAAAACACAAGGGAATTATTTTTTTATAATCCAAAGTGAGAAAGCTCTCTCTAAGAAGGGGACATTAAGGTCAGATATTATAATGGGAAAGAAGGATCACTTTCACTATATTAAAATCTAAAAAATTTTTATAGGAAAAAAAGTCAAAAGGCAAATGAAAACTTGGGAAAACATTTGCATCACTCATAACTGACAGAAGACTAGTTTCCATAACACACTGAAGAGCTTTTAAAAAACAAAAGGGAAGGCCTGGGGATGTAGCTCAACCTTGAAGTACTTGCCCTAGGTTCAATCTCCAGCACTGGAAGAGGAAAAAAATATTAAGAAATTTATTCAAGATCATATGTCTAGTAAATGGAGAAGTTGGGACCCAACCCAGAGAGTCTGAAAAATTAAGTTTAAAATAACACATACACACACACACACATATAGACACAAAATGTTAACTATCATAGTAATGAATATATTAATTAGTTTGAGTGAGATAATCCACACAACACAACATCTATGTATATTAAATCATCACATTGTACACCTTGAAGTTATATAAGTTTTATTTATCAATTAAATATTTTAAATTTGAAAAATTAATCACCAACTTCATAACATCTATAATAATTCAAAATTCTTATACCCATTATATATGTTAGGTTTAGGTTCAGCTATACAACACAAAAAAAGAAAATAACTATGGCTTAACAAGTTAAAAACATTAATTTATCTCCCCAAAAATGCTATCTAGAGGTATCTCATTCAAAACCAATAGGGTAGCTTTTACTCTATGAAACCCTCAGGAACCTGTCTTCTTCCAGATTGCAACTTCCCATCCAAATGGTGTGACCCTATGAAGAACATGAATTACAGGAAAGAATAAACATAAAGGACAAAAGGCACAAGTCAGCTGTCCTGGGAGAAGTTTCTCAGAAGCTGCCACGTGGCACTTCCTCTTACATCACTTTGGCTGCAAAGGAGACTGGGAGATGTAGTCTTAATTGTGAGTAGCCACAGGCATGACTAAGCATTGCATTACTGTGGAAGAGGAGAGCAGATGTTAAGGGGATGCTCAGCCAGTTCTTTCCTTCATGGTGACACTGAAATTCCATTTCTAGGAAAATTTACATTTATGCACAAAAATATTAGACTGATTACTCTCCACTTAACTAAATAGATTTTTAACCCTACTTTTCCTACCCTGTGCTTTGCAGACTGATCTCCATGGACTATATCACTTGATTCCCTCCCTCCTCTGTTTTCCACTTATATTCAGGGGTTGGGAAGTACCAGCAGGAAACCAGAGGGCAAGAGAACAGTGAGTAGGTTATTTATTCCTCTTACTACTACTCTGATGGCTGCAGATTTGGCAGTGGCTGCATTCCTCAGCCTATGACCATAGCTCCTTTTGTGTGGCCTCTCCCATGGTTATGGTCTTCAGACCTCTAGTGACACTGTTCTATTCCCTGTCCCTTGTGCCTAGGGGTGGTGAAGGCTTCTCACTGTTGCTAGTTCCTGAGGGCTTAACTATTTATTATTGCTTTCATTAATCCTGCCAGCCCCTGTGTAAATAGTCCCTCCATTATTAAACTCCTCAGTTAAGCTTTGGAGGTACCATCTGCTTCTGCTGGACTCTGGATGGTCACATATGTACAGGGATTTTCACTGCAGCATTGTTTGAAATAGCAATAGACTAAAAAACAAATTAAATATTCATCAGTCGGGACTGGTTAAACAAATATCATGCAGATATAGTAGGTATATTACGAAGCAGTTTAAAAAATAATGTCTCACTGTATTCTACACTTAAATTTATAAGAGAATAGAGCTTATTTTAAGTGTTCTTAAAAATAAAATAATAATATTAATAATGATAAAGTATAATAATACTGGCTATTAGCTAAAATAGAGATTTCTTGATGATAGGATGTTATAAACTATGTTTAAAAATAAAGATTTATGTTTAAAGTTAATAATAAGTGGTAGCGGTGGGTCTATTAATATTAAATTGTTATTCTTACATAAGATAGTTAACATCCTACTATTGTCTTTTAATTTTTTTTATAGTTGTAGATGGACAAAATGCCTTTATTTTATTTGTTTATTTTTATGTGGTGCTGAGGATAGAACCCAGTGCCTCACATGTGAGAGACAAGTGCTCTACCACTGAGCAATAGCCCCAGCCCCAACATCCTACTATTCTTGACTGATTGGGTAATACACACGCAGTTTTGTATAGAAATAAAAGTATTTGTAACTTAAAAAAATGTTATAATAATTTTATGCACATCATTAAAGCTATGGTCAAAAAATCATAATGTATATGCATTATATATTATATATATATATACATTAAAACTTTGAAAGAATAAAAGGCATAGATATATATTAGATTTCAATCCATTTTGATATATTTGCATGTATCCTTGTGTATGTGTATATATATATATATGAATTTAGTAACATATATATGAATTAGTAACAGTGGCTCCCTCTGGAAAAGAATAATGGAGAACTAGGGTAGAACAGAGAGATACTTTCATTGAATACACTTTTAAACTATAGGAATTTGTACTGTATATATTAACTTTAATTTTTAGTTAGGGAAAAATATAATTTCTTAGGACATATATAGAGAGGTGCAGCAATGAGATAATAGCATTCCTTTGAGATTCCATTACTATAACTGGGATTCTAATCTCTTCTCACCACTCTCTGTGCCCCACTGTGCCAACTTCTCCCATAGGACACTTCACCCTTCAGGGTTCCCATGGTCCTTATGGTGGCACTCCTGATGCATGGACAGCAGCTCCAAACCAGAAGTGGTTCAGGCTCTGCCTGAGGAGCAGGAGAGGAAGGTTCTCACAAGAGGAATGTGGGGAGCAAAGCAAATATTTGATGGGTTAAAATGGAGGTGAAGCCTCATTTGAGTCACTCCAGTGGAAAGGCTGTTTTTGTTGTTGTTGTTGGCTGCTTATGATTAGCCAAACCTAGGATTCATTTTCCCAGAATATGACCTTTGTTTTCACTGAGTTTGACTTTAATTTACTTAAGTAGAAATTCCGAGTGCTGGAGCCACCTCAGTCCAACGACTTCCCAATGAATTCTTTTAACACTTTCAAGGTCTCACTTTTTAGTAAATTAAACCACTTTTCAGGTTTATACAAGATCTTATTTTCTCAGATCCTGACTCTTGGAATATGGTAAATTCTCCCAGGGTTGGCTGAAAGGACCTTCTAGGTGAATTTAAAAACTTTGATCTTGCTCTGTGGTGAATTCAAAAGCATTAGGGTCTTTGGGTGAGGCTCTTAGCTTTATATTTTGTTCCTTCTTTCATTTATTGACTTAGATGGGCGACTGGAAGAACTTGCTGAGAGAGGAGAGATGAGGTGGTGGTCATGAAAGATAAATAGGTGTGCCCTAGGCAGATAAATGAACCAAACGACATTAAAATCTGCAGAAGCAATGCAGCTTGAAGCAAGACACAGAAGGAAACTTAAGACGCTTGAGAGGAGATTAAAATGGGGAGTCAATCTGTTGGTGATTGGTGTCATCATCATTCTTGAGAAAATCAAAAGGGAAAGGAAGAGGAATGGGTTAAGAGGGGTTGTTATAGTCATTATTTGGGAAAGGAAAAAAAAAGAGGAAAAGCTAAATGTCTGATTTTTGCTTTAGACTGTATGAAAATGTTCCTATATTAAGAGGCTACATAAAATGTTTTTGTACCTGTGGGAGAAAAGACACATAGGCATGCAATAATAAGGCACATTAAAGAAACTGCTGCTAGTTTGTTGTGCTGGAATGTGCCTGGAATGATAAGAGGTGGGAGCAGAGGTCCTATGACAGAGTTCTTTCCTATCATGCTGGTACAGCACATCTGGGGTTGAGCAGTTGTAATCAGTTATGCGTGTTAGAATGATCACCCTAGAAAGAGTACTGGGGTGAAGTCAATTATAAGACCATTGTACTCACTCTGAGCAAAGCTGGAGAAAGAAGAGGCACCCAGGAAATGTTGATGCGGTAAGGAAAAAAAATGGAAGTTAATTACAAGTTGAAGGATGGGGATGAGGGAACAGGAAGAATCAAAGAAATCTCCATTTCTGGAGACCAAACAGATTGTGGTGCAATACACTGGAATAAAAATTATAAAAGAAAAAAGCTTGAAAAACCATATTGAGTCTGAGGTTACTTGTGATGTGGACTTGACTTCATGCTTTTACTTATACCCAGTTCCTACACTCTTCCTCTACTCTACCCACCAATCCTTGGCTCTCCTGTATCCTTCCCACCCCAATTTTGCCTAGTGAATGACTAATATCTTTCTTAGCTCAAGCAACACCCCATTCAGAATGTTCCTCATGCTGGGCATGGTGGTGCAAACCTATAATCCCAGCAACTTGGGAGGAGGAGATGGGAGGATTTTCAAGTTCCAGGCCAACCTCAGCAACTTAGAGATGCCCTAAGCAACTTAGCAAGACTCTGTCTCAAAATAAAATATAAAAAGGGCTGAGAATGTGGCTCAGTGGTAAAGCACCTCCGGGTTCAATCCCCAGTAACAACAACAACAACAAAAAATAGAATGTTCCTTGTGACATTTCATTTCCTTCCCATGAAGGCTGAGTCAGGTGGCTTTTATACCCATGATCTTATAATGTCTTGTGCATATTTCTACCATTATACCATAGTGCACATTGAATTATAATTCATTCAGAGGTCCATCTCACCTTACCTCACCTAACATGATTTTAAGCTTCTCATGGGTAGGTCTTCATCTCCTTTATTTCTAATATTCCCAACATATAGTACAGAATTTATTAGAACATAGTAAGCCTCAGTGATCATTGAATGAATGAATATCTTGAGTGGGAGAAGAAATATCTTTCTCTTAGATGATAGTTTTGAAGGTGGTGGTTATTAGAGGCTCAGTGAGAATCTGAAGGCGTGTATAGTCTAAGTTTTATCTTAGGTCAAAGCCATTTCTCATGAGAAATGAAGCCAAGGAAAGAAGTTTTGAAGAGCTGCTGTGAGGAGTAGAGATGGGAGATAAAAAGAATTAGTTGTGACTATTCAGGCATCTTAAAGGTCCAGCTGACATTGGCAATAGAGTGGCAGGGACCCCCGATGACTGTGTGTTTCCCTCTAGCAGCGGTTCAGTGGGCTGAACCTGACATACCCAAGGTTCAAGGTCCACAAGGCAGATTCAGCATAGGACAGAGATACTGTGGTGTCTAGACTGGAATGGGAAGGAAAATGGAACCATGAGGAATAAATGGTCTGAAAACAACAGAAATGATGGAGTCAGGGACCACCACTCTTCATCAAGCTCAAGAAGAGAAGTTATGGGATAAGGTAGGAGAGCACCTGGCTGGTGGAGGCTCTTTTGAGAGACTAGGATATTAGGTTTGAAATTACAGAGTAGGACCTCTTCTTCTGGATGATTATAGATCCAGAGTACAACCTTGGAAGCAGGTTGCTAGAAGGACCTGGAAGTTAAGGTTGTGGGAATTTAAAAGTTCTCTAGAACTCTGAATCTACATTGTTAGAACCGTGTACCAGGATTCTAAAGTTGCCCACATTAGAAGAAGAGTAGGAACAGGGTTCCATCAAATTCAAAGAATAATGGCTGGTGTCCAGGGGATGAATACTTGGAGTGAGGACAACATGGCCCTTAAGAAACATCCTTAAGAAACTTTAAACTTAAGGAGAGCTAAGACAAACAGATATAAACCAGGAACTAACAACCAAAACCTGTGTTAAAGCTATACTACTTCCTGTCAACATCAAGGATCTGCCATTACATTGCTTTGGAATTGTTAATATTACCAATGTGATAGAAAGTTCCTTTCAGTACTGGGATGTTGAAGAAGATTGGCCTCTTCTTGATACAGACGTTTCCCAGATCTCTGCATTAGAACACCTGTTAGTCAGATCAGCAGGCTCCCCAGCCTCTACTTGCTGCAAAATTGCTGGTACTTTTATCTGTCCATGACACCACCTGTCTCAAAAAGTAGGTCATGTCAGGCTCTTAGTTCAGAGACAATGAGAGGCCCTTGAACAGGCTGTAACTGAAAGAACATGTGATAAAATCTTGTACAGAGACTTTAAAGAGTAGAAAGGCCCAACAAGATTACAGGTATAATCTTTCTTTTTATCTTTAACCCATCCTCTTCTTCCTTTGATATACTGCTCTGGTAAAATCCCTGAATTCAACTCATTTCTATTTTCTTACCATAGAGTATTATAATATCTTACATTTACCTTGCATAGTACATTTTTGTTTACAAAATTATTCCAGGTGTTTGAACTTTTTAATTTTTAAATC